TTTTGACGGGCCGTATTAAGCATATGTAAATTAACGAAGTGAGGAAGTGATGGGGGAGAGAGAAGACATGAGTGAGTTAGATGTACCATTTCAATTCTTTATCCCTAATCCCTAATCCCACTTGGTGTGGGTCAGACAAACGCTTAACTTATGTTATCTTTAGATATGGATGGGTAAGAGGTGAAGAGGAAAGCCGACATAAAGGAAGAAGATACAATAAAATATATATATATATATATATATATATATATATATATATATATATATATATATATATATATTACTGATTGTTTAGAACACTTAATAAGAATAGAACTTCCGTGATAAACTTTTAATTTTAATTTTTTAAATATGCCAAAAAATATTTTTTTTAAATATTTAAAATATTGTTTGTTTAAAGAGAGCTGAGATATAAATAATCACCCTACAAACAGCTGTATGAAACAGAAAAGTGGAATCTTTCTGTGTCTGTCTTTAACTTAAAAATATTTTAATTAAAACAATTGTCTATTTGAAGAAAGTTAAAATAAAAATGCTTACTTTATAAACAACTCATATATTCAAAACTTATTTCCTTAAAAAAAAAAATGGAATCAGATTAAGTTAAAAACATTTTTTAAATATTTAAATTATTGTTTCTTTAAAAAAAAGCTGAAATATAAACTATTACTCTACAAAAAACTGGACAAAATAGCTCAGTGGAATCTTTTTGTGCCTGTCTTTAACTTAAAATTATATTTTAATTAAAACAATTGTCTGTTTGAAGAAAGTTAAAATAAAAGTACTTACTGTATAAATAACTCGTATTTTTAAATCTTATTCACTTAAATCAGATTAACTTAAACCATTATTCGCCTGTCAGACGCAGCACACAAGCACGTTCCTAATCCCAGTCATTTAGGATTATATAGATTTTATTTGTCTTATTATTGATAGCAGCTGGGCGGTAGTCTGATAAAATGGCGTATGTCATGACAGTTTATGCGAAAGAGAGGTGTGACAATTCCTTACTGCGAAAAAAATTGCACCCCATGGCATCTATCGGCACTTAATGAACACACTGCGTTTCGGCGGTGGTGACAGAGATGTATGTGACACGCCACGTTCGGTGTGCGGTATGCAGGCTGTTACTCAGCGATGCTGACCTTATGAAAAATAAAAGAAAACAATGTTTTGGAGCCGAAAATCAATTATGTCCTTGGAAATAAATAAGAAGTATTAGAGGGGTTGATTGGGCTGTCTAGACTTGGGTGAAAATCATTCTAAGATCAAGAAAATTCAACATGAATTTAATTGCAATATCAATTTTAGAAGGATGATCAAAGACTATCACAATCGGTTTTATCCTCTTCGGAAATTATATCGCTATGTCCCCTCCTACTGTACAAGACGAGAGAAACCAATGAATTCATTTTTTTTTATCTAATTTTTAAATAATAGTATATAAACATATACATATATAGGGTGCAATGTGTAAATTGTCGCCATTTTATATTTTAATTTCGCGCATGCGCGTTGTTTATAATTTTTTTTATTTTTGTCGACTGCACGGTATAGTTGGATCAGTTGGCTACTGTATGTGAGTATGACGGCACCATGACTCAATTCACACCGCCAGAAATTTGGAAATGGTATGCTGTACTGCTTGGCATTCGTGTTGGCTGATATATTCAGTCAACATCATGATGATTGGAGTGATCACTAGTAATGGCGACATTATGCATCCATTCATCTTCCCACAGGGCCTCAGACTCAACACGGAGGCCTACATCAAGTGCCTTAAGTGGATAGTGCTGCCCTGGGTCAAGAGTATTTCTGCTGGATTGACCCTATATCTGATAACAGGATTATGCACCATGCCACACAAGCAGGAGAACCCAGTCATGGCTGTCAAACAATTTCTGAGACCGCATCACATCACATCTGGCCACCTAACTCCCCAGACTGCAACCACCTTTGATTATTGTGTGTGGGGCGCAGTTGAGCGAGACAACTGCAAAACTCCTTGTAGCAACAAAGTGGAACTGAAGGCAAGGGTGATGGCAGCATTCACCAACGTAAGCAAGGAGACCGCCCAGAAGAATTGCAGGAGATTCCGAAGGCCGTAGTTGAAGCCAACAGCGATTTAACTGAACAAATTTACTCTTTAGTATTTCAAGATATTTTTGTGTAAATTTGGTAAATATATCTGTTAAAATGAGATGTCAGTGTTATTTTCATTTTTGCGTAATTTAGACGACAATCCATCGCACCCAATATATATATATATATATATATTAAACATATATTATTAAATATAACAGCCAATGAATGTCTATTATGTCTGATCATGAGCCGTTCTAATGTTCGTATGTTTGCATTAATTTCAGGTTAAAATAAAGACAAAAATTGTCCAACATTTGGATATTTTTTTTATTAAGTAGATCCTTGATTTAATCTTTCGGCTCACATGAACCATCTTCAGAGTGGTTATACGGACATTTAAACAAAGGCATTCACC